TCTTCATCATCTGGGAGATTGAGCAGAATCTTGGGCCCTGCCTCAGAATTACTGAAACAGAAATTGCATTTTTAACAAGACCCTTTGGTAATATATGCATTAACGTTTGAGAAGTGTCCAGATTCGGTGTCACAAATAAATGCCAAATCCTTGGGCATTTGTAGCACATAGTTGGTTTTTTCCATTAATAAAATTTTTTGGACATATCCTTATTTCTAATGTTCTTTTGTATGTACTTGAATATATGCACATTTGCTTTACTAATAAGTATATGCACACAATGGTGAAAAAGTATTAGATACCTTATAAATACACATACAGAAATTTTAAACTGAGTAGAAGGTGAAATAAATATTTTAAAATTCGTCAGTAATCACGATGACTTCACACAACCATTAGCTAATATTCAGTGTTCACTGAGGATTAAATTCACCATTAATAAGTAAACACATAGTTTGATTATTCCTTACGAGAGTTGATTGTTTTTGGCTGACTTTATTTTGATCTGAATAGATCATCATTGTTTTAAACTTCCATTGAAAAGAAGGGAAGAGTCAATTCTACTCTTTTTTTTTTTTTTTTTGTGCTAGCCACATCAGTATTTTCTTCTGGCTTTGGTTTTGTTATGGGGGATACATATTATGAGGGATATAATTTTCTTTTACATTTTTAAAATTGTGTGTCATTGATAATACAATATTATATTGGTTTCAGATGTACAACATAGTGATTTGACAATTAGATGCATTATTAAATGCTCACTGTGATAAATATAGTTACCCTAATCACTAAAGATATCACAATCTTATTGACTAAGTCGCCTATGCTATACTTTCATTCCCGTGACCTATTTATTTTATAACTGAAAGTTTGCAGTAATTTCACCTATTTTGCCTGTCTTCTATTATGGGGGATATTTTTAAGCCACAAGTTTGCTTAGTGATTCAGGGGTGCATGTAACTGCAGTGCTGCCAGTCACCCTCCCTGGTCTGGTGTACCCAGTTATCACCATCTGACATGGGTGGTCCAAGTGAGGGTGCCAGCATCAACACACATACCCAATCGATTTCTCATTTCTAGTGAATGAAGATCATACACAAAGAAGATCTTGCATTTCCTTCTCCATGCCAATTCACTGTATGCAGTCCCTGGAGTGAGTGACCCACACCTTGAACACTTCTTGTCCAGGACAGGGAGGTCTCCAAGAATCCCTGTCTCCACTGCATGAGCTGGGAAGGGCTGCTTTGGGGAAAAACATCCTTGTATTTTGGATTGATTTTATGACCCTCAGGAGAAGCCCTGGGGATCTGCAGATGGCAGGGCTGACCAAGTTCATGGGAGCTGTCTTGATTACTTAGCAGGCTCTCCTCTGGAAAGCCTGAATATTTTGGAATCTGGGGAGGACTCCTTAGAGAATCTGGTGAAAGCGATGGCTTCTTGCTTGAGAAAAATGCACAGACAAAATTTCCACTCAATTCCAGAGGGGCTCAGAGATGCCCCGAGGCTCATGATGAAGAACCTGTTCAGAAGCAAAAAAGTCCAATAGAGTTTGGGAGACAAGTGCCCTTTGCCTCAAATGTGCCCCCCCTGCAGGCCCTTCAGGTTTCAGAGCCTGCTTACAGCACAGGGGTGGGAAGGGGCCTGAACTCTGATTTCATAGATGCTCAGGTTTGTATCTCAGTCCCTCCACTGAGGAGCGGTTAACTTGAGTGGTTTTCCACCCTGTAAAATGGCAATGCTAATTCTCACCTTGGAAGGCTCCCCTCCTTGTTCACCGTCTTCCTGCTTTATTGGCCCTCCTGCATGTCCCTTAAATATCTGAACTATTTCCCACCTCAGGGCCTTTGCAGTTGCCACCCCCTCTGCCAGGAATGTTCTTTCTATCATCTTTATGTGACCAACTCCTTCTCACTGTTCAGTATCAACTCAAACATCACCTACTCAGACTTTTCCTGCTCATTATTCCCCTGTAACGGTTTTTAAGAATTTTTTAAAAAATTATATACCATTCAGTGGTTTTTAGTATATTCACAAAGTTGAGCAACCGTCACCACTCTCTAATTCCAGAACATGCTTATCACCCTAAAAAGAAAACCCTCACTCATTAGCAGTTACTTTCCATTTCCCATGAAAATCTGCCACCTTGACCATGAAAGGTGTACAGTTCAGTGCTTTTTAGTGTATCACCAGCATCTACTTCCAGAACATTTTCATTATCCCAAAAAGAAACATTAAACAGTACTAGTTCCTGGCAACCATGAATCTACTTTCTGTCTCTGGATTTGTCTCTTCTGAACATTCCACATAAATGGAATCATCCAATATGTGGCATCTATGTCTGGCTTCTTTCATTTCATCTCATTCGCGCTGTCGCTTGTATCAGTAGTTCATTCTGCTTTATGGCTGAACAATATTCATTCCATAGAACACATTTCACTTATCCATTCATCAGTTGATCTGGGTTGTTTCCACTTTTTGGCTATTGTGAATAATTTTGCTATGCGCCAGTCCCTTGTGATCATGTTACACTTTTATGTATTTAATTTTGGCAGCCCTTGTTTTTAATTTAATATTTTTTATCCCCTCCCTTAGATCATAAGCTCCACGAAGGTAGAGGTCTTGTGCACTTTATTCGCTGCTGTATGGCACAGAGTAGGCAATAAATACTCATCGAGTAAGTGAATGAATGAATGAATGGAGCTGGTGTTACTCTCCTGTCTCTTAGCAGACTTAGTCTTTTCCTCCTATTCATGTGGAACTTTGACTGGTGTCACATCTGACACGTCTCACCAGCTGTGGTTCTCTGCCCATTGTCTCTTGAGCAACCGTTCCCCCAAGCTGAGGGCCTCTCTTACCCTGATACAGTCTCAAGCTTGAATGTGCAGCAGATACCCCTGGATGACCTATGAAGACACGGATGGCTGGGCACCCCCCTGGAGTTTCTGAGTCATAAGTCTGGTGAATCTGAAAATCTGTATTTTAACAAGGTGCTACGTTACTGCTGGTTGGCAGGCCACTGTCTGAGAAGCAATGCTGTAGTGGGACATGGTGGGCAGGCTGGGTCTGTTGAGTTCATGGGTGGTATGCATGGGCCTCACACAAACCCCTCACTTCTGTCTCTGTCTCCCTTGGTGTGGACTCAGTGGGTTCTGGTTAGTTGAGAGCATCTGGATGTATCCTAAAGCATGGCTGTGTCACTCATGGGTGAGCACCTTTGGACTCTACCTGATCCAAGAGGAGGCATGTATGAGGATGTTTATTGCAGTGTTGTTTACAGAGGCAGGGAGTTTGTGACCATCTAGTCGGTCCGTAATTAGGGAAATGGATAAGGCAGGGCTGATGTTCAATGAAAGAGTTGGGTGTTTATAGCTGCTGTGCATTCTGATTGGTCAGTCCCTCTGCCCTCCTAGCTGTTGTGTACTGAGACTGCCTTCTCTGCAGGTAAGTGAATATGGAGGCTGCAGATATTAGAATGCTATGCAGTGGTTGCAAATTGCAAAGAGATTCAGGTTCAGCAATAGGGCTAGCTTCCACATTGTGCAAACCAAAGTTTATGCAAACAGAATGAGGTATATGGTAGAAACACAACTTTATGTCAAAGATACATGCATATACGATAATACTTACAATATTATTTATCCTCAAGGATAATCACATAAATGAACACATGATGGAGGGTAGATAAAGAGAAAAAAATGTGTTGGTGAGGTCTGACCTTGGGTGTAACATCTGGACAGTTATCTCTGCTCTGTTCTATGTGTAGATATTGAGCTTCCTTCCCAAGTTTATATCTAGTTGTGAAGGTCACTGTTATGTAATTACTGGATTGTCCCCCAACCCCCAAAGATTTATTAAAGTCCTAATGTCATGGTCCTCAGAATGTGACTTTATTGAGAAATAGTATGGTTGCAGATGTAATTTGTTGAGATGAGATCATACTTGAGGAGGATGGCCCCTAATCCAATATGACTGGTGTCCTTAAAAGAAGATGTCCATGTGAAGGCAGAGACAGAGGGAGAATACTGCGAGACGACAGAGGCAGAGCCTGGAGTAATGCAGTGGTAAACCAACAAATACCCAAGATTCCCAGCAAGCCACCAGAAGCTAGGAGCCTGGAAGGGCTCCCTTGTTAAGTTTCAGAAGGAGCACGGCTCTGCTAACATCTTGATTTTGGGCATCCAGCCTCCAGAACTGTGAGACAAGATTCTGTTGTTTTATGCCACCTAGTTTGTGGTACTTTGTTAGAGCAGCTTTAGGAAATGACTACATTCACATAATACCCCTCAAGTTGTTTCCTTATTTGTAAAATTCCTATCCCCAGCTACTGATTAAGAGAGGCACCAGCATGGGGTGTGGACAGATCACACCAAATCCTCCATAGCTACAGGAAACCCAATGCACACACTGCACAGGGCTGTGAGTACAGACTCTCATTCACATCTCTGTGCTACAGTTTACTGGCTGTGTGACCTTGATCAGGTTAATTCACCTCTCTGAGCCTCATCAGCAAAGAAGAGGTAATAAACCTCATAAGGTGTTTGCTGCTTAGTTGAATTAAGGCATGTAATGTGATGAGCCTAGTGCTTGGATTATGGTAAGTACTCAATAAATGTTATTTGTTACTTACAATGGGCCATTGCTGTACGTAGTGTGTTGGTATCTAGGGTTCAGTATAAAGGGGGGACTAAATCTATGGGGTGCAGAGCCATTGCATCTGTTCATCATTTAATCCTCTCAACAACTCTACAAGGTGGGTAATATTGGTGTTACACAGCTATTGTGAGAAGCGTGCAAACTGGTCTGCATGAAGTCCCTGTAACTTCTAAATGTGGTGGTCTTATTTCTTACTCATGTCTTTTTCTCCCTCCCACCCCTGACTAGAATGGCAGCTCCATGGAGTAAAAGACCTTGTCTTTAGTTCACATGCACAGCGCTCAGAGGATCGCAGGAGCCAGTCATTGTGTTTTGAATGAACAGATTTAAATTCTTGCTTCTTTCAGGGCCCTTGCAGATGTCATGAGGCCACAGGGCCACTGCAACACTGACCACATGGAGAGAGACCTCAACATTGTGGTCCACGTCCAGCATTATGAGAACATGGATACCAGAGCCCCCATAAATAATCTTCGTAAGTATAGCTGTGTGATCCATTGCCAGTCCCACCCACTGACCGTGCAGTGGTCCTGCTTCCAGATTTCATGGTGTGTGTTTGGGTTCACTAAGAGCTTCTCTTTGTTGACTAGTTAGAAGTTTTATTTTATCTCTCCTAGAGGAAGCTGTATTTGGCATCATCAGATTTCACTTGGTTTGTTTCTCTGTTGAAAAGTCATCTACTTAGTTGATTTCTCATGACTGGTTCTTCTGTTAACTAATAGATAACTTGACGGGTACATCATTTTTGACCTATTAACTAATGGCCCTCTTGGCTGGTTTATTATGGTTGGGTACTTAGTTATCCAATGGATTTCTTGGTCGGTTCATTTTAGATAGTTAATCTGTTGGCCAGTAATCCATTTTGTTGATTCGTCTTGACTAGATAATCTGTTAACTGATGTTCTGTTTGCTTATTTTGTCCACCTCCTGAGGTAGACCAGTTGTGACTTTTAGTTTTCATGCTGTTTTCAATTCACAAATACTAGCCCAGGAGAATTACATCTATTTTTCATCCAGCTACAGTTCCATAGAAATAATCCACAAACTACTCCGTGTGCATGTCTGTGTGTATTTGTGTGTGGGGTGTGGAGTTGTGGTTACATTGGTTTGGGGTGTTATATATGAATCAACAGTAGCAAAGTCCATCCACTGTTCCCCCAGGAAAACAAAAAAAGCTGCATTTGCTTTTGTCTTTCAATAGGTGTTCTTTAGCTGATAGAGCGTGCTTAGGAATGTTGGTATGTTCTCCCAGATTTTCTTTCCTTTCAAAGGTCTGTACAGACAACATACATTATGGAGCTGACGTATGGCTAATGGGAGTGGGGAAAACCAGGATTGTTTAGTTTTTGACAGCAGTGTACTACTATGCTCATTTCTAGCAATTATGTTTTCAAGTAACCCCCACATTAAAGTAATGTGGAGGGCTTGGTTTAAAATAGCAAAAGCCAGACAATTTAAAGGAGGCATTTAGTTGTGGCTGGAGGTTCTTAAAAATACGGCACAATTTATAGTCTGGGTCGTCTTTGCTAAAGCGGCACTAGGAGTTGCTTTGGTGTTTCATTTGCTGAATCATAGTTTTTGACTGTTTGGTTGCAAACGTTTAAGCTCAATGAGTAGAGGAATAAATCTGTAGCATTTGACAGAGGTGATGTGAATTCTGTCATTCTGCATGGTGATCATTATTCATGACCTTGGAAATGTTACTGTGGGTTTGCAGAGTCAATGTGTACGTGGTCTGAAAACGGGCTGCCAGATAGAATGGCTTAGGTTTCATTCTATACAATAATTCAACATTACTTATTTATGAACTGGATTGTAAAGTGGTATGAGAAGTAGCCACATTTCAGAGCAAAATACACCAGCAAGTGGACGTTTTATGATAAAATCTCACAGCCCTGAAAGATACGGTAAATTGCACCAGCTCTGACTTGGCCATTACTGCATCCGGTTCCGGCTTTGAGGAAAATGAGCTGAACCTACATGTATATGAGTCCCAAACATTGGAAATGAGTGAATGTGATCATGGAGTAGAAAAGCTGAAGTCGCGTTGAGTCCCTGGCTATGAAAGGAGACTGCTAATAGGTTTCTCATTTGAAGTTTCAATCTTTAGGATGATTTTTTGGTTCAGCACTCCACTGGAATAACAAACTCATTGAAGTCACTCAAGTTCCATCATTCCATCAGGTAAAAGGGCAGGCAACATTAATGAGTCTTGCTTTAATAAGGAACTTTCATTTAAAGTTGTACTGAGAATAAATTATTGCTCAGAGATGGGTAGACAGGCACTGAGTAACTCAGAAGCCTCTTATGACAGGTTTATTTGTGATTTTTGCTTTTAGTCTATAGTTGCAGCTCAGTAATCAGTGATATTTTAAACCATGAGAAAAAAATGTGTCTTTTAATATTCTACCAGGTGGAATCAAACCAGAGCATTCCTGGTAAACTACAGGGGAGAATTCCAGGTGTAATGTCACAAAACTTGCATTCTCATAAGAATGACCTCAGATGTTAATTTCATGTAATCCTGCTAGACTGTCCAATCCTTCTTTCTAAGAATTCTTGGGACTATCTGGGAAATGAGAAAGATATAGCTTTTCCACAGATTTACATTAATAGGCTTAATTTCTATAACTAATTCAATAGTTGATAGTAATGATAGGCTTCCTTGTAATGAATGGCTTTGTCTTTTTATTGATTTACAATAACTATTTATATATTATAGACCCAGGGAAAAATTTGCATGTTCAAGAGAAGGAATGTTCTGGGTAGTCCATTGAAGGGATGGGACTAGATGTCTGATAGTTATCAGTTACTAGGGATTCAAGAAGCAAGAAGCCAGAGCCTGCTTTGACCAATAGAGAACTGGAAGAAAAGGAATCCAGTATGATAACTGAAAAGTTAGACCAGCTCTAGGTGCCAGAATTAGAATGTACCTAATGAATACAAAACCCTTTTCTACAAGGATTTGCCATTACAAAAAGATAGAAAGAAAGATGCATCTATTTGTTGATGTAACATGAAGGGGCATATCATGTCATTTTAAGGGTTCTTCACTAAACATTCAGGTTGCCAGATTTTCCTGGAAATTCAGTAGTCACAACTTAAATGTCATTTTCACCTCTGTTCAACAACCCACTGGACACAACTTTAAGAGAACAATCGTCCCCATCTATTTCTCTTTCCTCATCTTATTAATTCTAATGCTAGGTCACTTTCTGATCTTTCTCTTATGCTTTTGGTCAAATGCTAACTAAGAGAATCAAATCAGGGCAGAAGTCTGATATAGAGAAGGAGGGAGGTGGAGGAGGACTAGAGTGAAGGCAAATAGGGAGGAGTAAGCTTCAATATGGGGACATTTTTGCCAATCTATCTTCGTAAGTGTCTTGTGGTTGATTTTTCCTGTGATATATAGGACTTGCCTTTTTATCTGAAGATGGATTTTTCTTTAGCTGAAGCTGTTCATGATCCTTCTAGGCATTCAGTGATATTGCCTAAAAATATTTAGTCTGATAATCAAAAGGGTCTCGACCTCTTTGATTAACAGGATGTAGATTCACATGAGAGAGGGATTTTCTGAAAATGCTTCTTGGTTTCTGTATAATTACCGTTTGCTTCTGAAGGCACATTTTGTCCTCAAGTGCTATGAACATTCTCTGTCTCCTCCAGCCCAGCTTCCCTGGTGCTATGAACATTCTCTGTCTCCTCCAGCCCAGCTTCCCTGCCTGCCAATGACACCCCCCCTCCCCATCCCTTTTGGGAATGCAGGCTAAAATACAGGCTCCCTTTAGTCTTAAGGGTGGGATATATAAGTGAGGGACTGTGGAGACAAGGATTCAACCTGGATCAGTGTTCCTCCACTTGTTTGTGTTAACAGCACACTTTTTGAAATGAACTTTGCAGTTCGGAATAATTGTATGTTTACAGAAAAGTTGCAAAGACAGATACACAGAGTTCTGTATACCCCTCACCCACTTCCCCTAATGTTAACATCCTGACATTACAGTACACCTGTCAAAGCTAAGAAATCCACATTGGCACATTATTTTCAGCTCAGCTGCAGATACCATTTGCGTGTCGCTCATTTTCTAAGTCCCTTTTCTGTTTCAGGATCCAGTCCAGATTACTGCATTCTTTTTGGCACAGCAAACTGGGTAGTAGAGTTTTGGTTGTGCTGTGTTGTTTAATGATGTGGCGAAGACTGAAAACAACACTAAATAGGTCAGCAGCAATTACAAAGCCTTCGTGGGCACAGTGTCTATAAAAACAGCCACGTGAAATTATTCACCTGGTCAGTGTGCGAATAGAACCAGATGTTGTCCTGGTTGTGTTGTTATATATACTCATGGAACAAAACACCCTCTCATTCCCTGCAAACCTGCAGTTTCCTTTCGCTTTGGGTTGATGTGACAGTATTTATTGGATAGCATAACCTGAGTGAGTGAGCTCTCACCCCAGACTGAAGAGAAATGCTGACTTGAAGCCATTAGAAAGACCAGGCTCCTGTTCCAGCCTCACCACTCCCCTCCTGCCCCAGGACCATTCCCAGGTGGATTTACAGGAACCAGATGAAAAGCAGATCCGCAGTTTAGTTTCTGAAGATGTACAGCGCATATCCAGGACCAGATGGGTTTTCATTCATTTTTACCAAGGTACCCAGAATGTCCTATACTTGACTTTTAGAGATACTGCTAGGGGATATTCCCAAATATCTGAAAAAAAACAGGGGAATTTCCTAATCAGTACAGGTAAAAAGGTAAGTATACATATAAGAGTAAAAATATGTAAGATAGTGTAATATTAACAGTAACTTCTACAGATAACATTCAAACCCCCAACACATTGAATCCTCAAAACTATATTACATTGGTACTATTATTTTCAACTTCATAAGGATGGGGGTACTGAGGCTTGGAGAGGTTAACTGATTTGTCCAAAGCTCATACATACAGCTAATGGTGGAGCTGGAATTTAAATGGGCCAGACCCCAAAGTCTGTGTTTTTAACCATTACCCTATGTGACCCTTCCTCATGGTACAGGCGTTTGCAGTATAGGGAAGCGTTTTCCCAGGAGTAGACTTTGGTAAAGGACATGCTCAGTGAACCAAAAGATCAATTGGCACTTGAGGAAAGAGAACTGTTTCCAAAATACACTCCAATGTACCATCTTGTGATGAGTCCTCCCTTAGGAGAATAATGACTAAGTTTTATCACTTGCAATGTGCCAGGCAGTGGGCTAACTAAGGCTTTGAATGTGTTAGCTCATTTCGTACTCAAAACAACCCTCAAACAGCCTTGCTCATTGCTACCTCCGGGTCTTTGCACCTGCTGTGCTTTGTGCCTACAGCAGGCTGCTCCCAGGCCCCTTCCCTTTGTGTCTTACCCTCACTGCTGCCTCATTAGGGAGGTCATCCTTGTCCACTTCTGGCCCCCAAATCACCTACTGTTTCCCATTCTTTTCTTCATAACTTTTGTTTT